CGAGGAAGCCGACAGGAGGCGGCCGGTATGATCGGCCCTCATGGAGTCGGCGGAACAGCCGGCGGCTCGAAGTTGACGGCCACAGGATTGAGCACCTGCCGGGTCTGTTCTCGGACCAGCCGAAGGTGCCCGCGTTGTTTTCGGAAGGGGTTGGGCGGGGGGGAAGTCTCTGGCTCTCGTTTTGCCAAGCGTCGTCCAGAAGGCCAGTGTGCTTGGTCGTGCCACGCCGTGGCCGTGCGTTAATCAACGCGTGTACGGGCCGATGAGTGATGATTCCCAGGAGAAAGAAGGAGAGGGGGAGGTGGAAGAGTAGGTGAAGGCCAATCTGAAGAGTCAGCTGGCACACATCGGACACGTTGCAGCCGTGTGCGTGTGCGTGTGCTTGGAGTATAATTCTGCTCGACAATGCTCGCAGGACTTCATTGACAATTCTGTACAGAGTGTTCCAGCAGTGTCCCTGATGCATCCTTGGTCACTTCGTGGCCGTCGCAGATCAAGTACAGGGCCCACACAATTGTCGGCATTACACCGTCTCAGAATCGACTGTCTACACATCGTCCACAAAGAAACCAGATTCACTCACGACTCCTTAGTGCAATAGATGCAATCCACCGATCCCTCTCCCTCCATTCCGTGCCGCTCGTCATGCTGGCTGTGGTTCTGAAGGCGGGCCTGTTTGAGACACTTCTTCCGCTTTATCTCCTTCCTCTGTCTTATGTTCTTCGGGTTCCACCTTGGCGAGTCCGCTGGCCGTGACGTACCTGCAGAGCACATCACACGGGGGAAGGTACGGGGGTGGGGTGTGCCTGATGTGAATGGGGTGTGTCTTTCATGGTTTGGTCAGCTCACTTTAAGTACTCAGCCTTCACTTGGAACGGCCGCTGACCCAGGCACTCGAGCAGGTCGTTGTATGTGATAGTCTCCTTGGCCAGCAACAACTCGGCTAATGCCCGGAGCTTCTGCACGAATAGAACCCCACACAGGGCACAGGAGAGGGACGGGTCGAAAGCTTGGGGCGCCTGTTCCGCCTGAGTCAGAGTCTGGCTTACCTCTGCATTTTGCGTCAGGATCCCCTTAGTCCTCTCATATTGATCCGAGATGACCTTCTTGACCTCGACATCGATCACCTTCATACGAAACGCCATAAAGAGCTAAGTGATGCGCCCATCTTCAACGTACCTGAGCTGTCTGTTCCGAGTATGGCTTGTACATCTGTTGCTCCTGCTGCTGCTGGTAGGACACCAATCCCAGCTCAGGATTCATGCCGAACACGGCCACAAGGGAGTACGCCATCTTGGTGACCTGAATGAATGAGTGAAGCAGAGAGAGTGCGGTCCTGTCTCTGCAAGAGACGGCGCTCTCGGTGCGTGTGCCGGCGGATTGTTCGTTACCTTGTCCAGGTCATCGGATGCCCCTGTGGAGATCTTGCCAAGGAACAGGTCCTCCGACGCCCTCCCCCCTGCATACACGGACCGCCTCCACTCCACCCGATTATTCTGTCGTGGTTGCCGCGTGCACCCACCGCACCTAGGATGACAGCAATTTTGTCGAGGAGGGCCTCTTTTGAGTAGAGGGGCAGCTCGTCAGGTAGTTGCTAATCGACACACGCACGCACAGTCGAAGGATGATGGTGGGATGCACTCACGTGCAGATACGATGGTTCCCGTGTCTGTGTGTGGGTGCCTACCTGTGCAAACCCCAGCGCCCCCGACGATCTCGGCACGATCGACACCTTGAGCACGGGATCAGCATGCTCCAACATCCATCCAGTCAGCTGCGCACATAGGGACGGGCAAAATGGGCGGACGCACCCGTACCAGCAGTCCCTTAAGGTAGGGTATGACGTGCCTGCCTACCGCATGTCCCGCTTCGTGGTAGGCGACAGTCTTCTTCTCTCTCTGCGACTGCAGATTGTTGGCCTTAGGCAGCCCGCCCATCACACGCTCGGTTGCCCTCTCGAAATCCTCAATAGCCACACCCTGATCGTGTACGCAGACACGCACGCCATCAACGACGAACGCCGTCAACGACGAATGCTTATACTAGCCGATTGCCCATCGGCATATATGTGTCTGGCGTACGTACATCTTTGGCACTTCTGCGTGCTGCGAAGATGGCTGCCTCGTTGCATATGTTGGCTATATCAGCACCTGCGGAGGGAGGACCAATCAGCAGGAAGGAGGGAGGGACGCGACCACACTCATTCCCTCTATCTCCCCCCTGTGTACACCTATCACGGATCCACGCGTACCAGCGAAGCCCGGCGTGAGGGCTGAGAGCCTTCGCGCCACCTCCTCCACATCAAGATTGGAGTCAAGCTTCAACGGCTTCAGGTGAATCTACACGAGCATGCACAATGCAATGCAGCCACCGCTACCAGCTCTGCCTTGACGTGGGCGTGCGTCTGTGTCGACCTTGAATATCTCTTGTCTTTCATTTAGGTCAGGCTTGTCTATCGTCACTGTCCGATCAAAACGACCTGCGCGGGGGGGACACACATCAACCGATAATCGATAAATAGAGCGCGCGAAAAGCAGTCAATCTTGACAGCATGCTGTGTGCTGCCGGCCGGCCGGCGGTCGGTTGATCGATCTACTGAGTAACTAACCTGGTCTGGTAAGAGCAGGGTCGAGAATGTCGGAACGGTTGGTGCCGGCAAGAACTACCACCCCCGTGTTGCTGGTGAACCCATCCATTTCGACCAGCATCTGGTTGAGGGTGTTCTCTCGCTCGTCGTTGGCACCGCCAGCGAAACCGCCCCGCGCACGCCGCCGACCGACCGCATCTATCTCGTCTATGAACACTATCGCTGAGCCAAGCAGATAGACAGACAGACGAACACAGCACACACACACACACACACGCACACACACACACACACGCGCGTGTCACATGGCACAGAGCGACAGAGGTTGCCGGTCCGCTGCATGCAGTGGCCATCGTTTGGGCGTACAGGGCGCGTGTTTTCTCGCTTGTGCGAACAGGTCTCTGACACGCGAAGGCCCAACACCGACAAAGACCTCGATGAAGTCGGACCCTGAAAGTAGGCAAACGCAGTCAGTGGTGGGAGCGCCTACCGACGATTGCGTGTGTGTGTGTGTGTGGTGTACGTACCAGACATGGAAAAGAAGGGCACGCCCGCTTCTCCAGCAACAGCCTTGGCCAATAAGGTCTTACCTGAACAGCCAACAGACAGCAGGCCACGCACCAGCCAAAGGAGGTGTCGCCGTGGCCTTGATGGGTAAGTACTCCTTAGGTGAGTGCCTATATGTATGTATCTGTGGCCGTAGGTACCTACCGTACGTATGCACATACCTACCTACCTGTTCCAGGAGGCCCGACGAGGAGTGCGCCCTTCGGTATTCTGGCGCCGAGGTGTTCGTACTTCTTGGGGCTCTTGAGAAAGTCCACAAACTCCATGATCTCCTGCTTGGCCTCCTTCAAACCAGCCACGTCAGCGAACTTGACCTTCGACTGAAGGGAGGGAGGCATCACATCACATGGACGGACAGGGGGATGAAGACAGAGATAGATAAACACACAGTGATGGACGCATGGATGGATGGATGGATGGACCATGGACGCTCTTCTGTCCTTAGGAGCTGTGTATTGCGTGTGTGTGTACCTTCATGTCTTTGGTGCCAGCGGGGAAGGCCCTGCCCATTTTGAAGAATCTGTCGGGTCCGCCGGCGCCCATGCCGGATGCCTGCTGTCTTCGTAGCCAGAATAGGAAGAGGAAGAAGATGACTATGGGGGGGATGTAGTTGCGGAGTTCCTCGGCCAGCTGAACCTCGGTGACGTACTGGATGGGGATGTACTCGGCGGGATGGATGCCCAGCCCCGCCTGGTAGTGCTCCAGCTTCGACTCGAATGTGTCCACGCTGCCAATGACAAAGTGGTACCGCTGCCCGGCCTTGGGGCTGTTGGGCCGCACAAACACGCGAGCGTACTCGCGGTTGACGATCTGGATCTTCTCGACATGGCCGTGGCTGAGGAAGTTGGTGAGGAACTCCTGGAAGGTGATCTCGTTGGAATAACCCGTCACGCCCCGGTCCAGCAGCGACAGCAATATCAACACCGCAGTCAGGCTGACGGCGACAGTCCAGAACCGGTTGTCATCCGGTGAGCCGGGCCCGCCCGGAGCCGCCTTCTTCTTGTCGTCTTTGTCTTCCTCTCGCCTTTGGTCTCGGGGGAAGAACTTCTCGAAGCCCTTTGGTGGGCCCTTGCTGAGGCTGACCAGGGGGAGGAGGAAGGGGAACAGAGAGGGAGGGGGCGAAACGGAGGGGGAGGAGGAGGAGCGACGATGCTGCGGCAGGCGGTACCATGTGTCCGCCGGGGGCGTCACGTGGTAAAAGCCCGTTATCCGCCCATAACGACTGCCCAGCCCTCCCCTCAGATGCGCTTCGCGCATGCAGAGGTAGCCGCTGGACGACAGAACACGCATCCACCACTGCGGTAAGGGGTGGAAGTGCCTCGCCTAATCCATGCAAACACGCACAGAATACGGCAGGCACTTGTATGCATGGCCATGGCTGTCCCTACCGTTCGAGGGTGCAATTTCCATAGCATATCAGCCACAGACGATGAACGGAAGACGGCCTTTGGGAAGTTGTGGCCTTACACGCTTGGCAGCTGGGTGTTGGGAGATGAAGAGATTTCCTGTTTTGGAAGACACCAGAACCCTCCTCCCTTCTTTTCCGTTTCACCATGTGCCCTTCCCCCCCCACGATTGGGACTCGGAGGGAGCGACGTGTGTTAGTCCTTCACAGGATACCCCATGATAGGTGCCGCGACTGCTCGAATGAAGAGGAGGAGAAGAGTATTGTGACTCAACACACAGGCCAAGATGGTCAGTCCATTCCCTCCCCTCTCCCTTCCTCCCTCGACCAAATCGGAATTCTGTAAGGGCAGCCGTCGAGCCCGGCGCCACACCACACGAGCCGGCCGTTGCGTGCACCGCAGCTGTCACGTGAGTTGTGGTGGTTACCATGTATCTTGTGTGCTTGTCGGTCAGGCATTGGGACTGAGGGCCTGGAGTTCGGTGGATTCGACCTGGAGAGTCCGCGCGTGTTGCATCGCGGCTTCCAGAGCACAGTATGTTTGTGCAAGAGCAAGAAGCGGAAGCCTCGCTCCCGCACCCAGTCAGACTACAGCGACCTCCACAAGCACATGGAAACCCAGCATCAGCAGCGAGGGGGTGAAGGACAAGGCCAGACGGTCCAAAGCGACGGGGGCTCTAGCATGGCCAGGGACAGTGGCGGCAGGTCGGGGCAGGGTGCCATGGTGGGTGACGGTGTGCGCCGCGAGCCTGGCCGGACGCTGCCGGGCATATCGGAGAAGGCCAAGTACAGCACCGACATGGAGGAGGAGGAGGGTGATGTGTGTGGGATGGATATCTGTGCCGTGTGTGGCGGCCGCGACACGGCGCCCAACCCCTCCCGCAGCCGGCGACACAACTACCTGCACAGCAGCCGCCACAGGGGAGCCGCCTCCAACGAGGACATCTCACCCTCCAGGCAGCACCAATCGCACTCTCGGCAAGCTGCTGCTGGGGTGGCACCAGCAGGCCGCCGGCATAGGCCGCCCAGTGGCGACCTCGGCAACGGGCTGGACGCTCTCCCGGAAGGCGAGGAGACACCGACATCGACTGCTGATGTCGAGTCGCCTTGCTGTGTCTGCCCCCACTCCCACGCACACCACCACCCGTCGGCGCCCCCGCCCCTCGATGTGTCGCCCTCCCGGCGTGAAGTTTCCTCTGCGTCTAGCGTGGAGCGTACGGCGCCCCCCTTTCCCCCTCCCCCCGATCAGCCGCTGCCGCGTTCTCGGTCTCAGTCGCACAGCATGAGTCCGGTGCAGCCGTCGTGCACGGCGGGGGAGGTGGGGAGTGACCCCCGGTTCCCGATGGCGGATGACTATGATGAGGAGATGGCGCCTGAGCAGGTGGTCCTGAAGGTGGTGGATAAGCACAAGCTGGGCAGCCGGGAGGAGCTCATCAGGGCCGAGAGGGAGGTGCAGATGCTCAGAAGGCTACACCACGACAGGATATTGCCGCTACTCAAATCTCTAGAAACCGACGCGGAAATCGTAAGAAAGAAAGGACGGAGGGAGGCACTGAGGGACACACACACCCACGCACTGAGGGAGGGAGGGAGGTTGGGTGCGTACACCTGCCTGTATGTATAGACAGAGACTCTCCATGTGTCTGTGTGTGTCTGTGTGGATGCAGTCGATGTTGTTTGAGTATGCGCCGTTGGGTGACCTGCACAAGTTGGCGAGTTATGGCACGCGTACGGTGCCTGAGCGTGAGGTGCGTAAGCTGTGCCACCAGCTGCTGGAGGCCCTGGTGTACCTCCACCGCCAGCGCATTGTGCACGCCGACCTCAAACCCGAGAACCTCCTCCTATTCGAGGACGCTGACAGCGATACCCTCCATATCAAACTCTGCGACTTCGGACTCGCACAACAGATACCCGGTATGTGGGGGAGGACACACATATACATACACGTACACACACACACACACACACACACGACAGTCACAGGGTGTGGTCAGCTCAGCCCAGAGCCCCATGCGTGTCCACCTTGCTCGTGTGTCGGTGTGTGTGCATACCATACGCATGTCTCTGTTCTGTTATTGGCTGGTGCCGTGTTGTGTTGTGTTGTTGTGTTTGTGTGTGCTGTGCAGCGTCTGGATGGATAGCTCATGACGGCATTCGCGGGACGCAGGGCTATCTCGCCCCAGAACTCCTCCTGGTGGGCGGGCGGCACGGCACGGCACGGCACGGCACGGCACGGCACACCCATCCATACACAACACAACGATGGATGGATGAATGGATGGATTAATGACAGACAGAATCAAGGAAGGAAGGACTCAGTGCGTGCTGTGCCATCTCATCTGTTTGTCCGTCTTTGTGTTTGTCTGTCTGTCTGTGTGTCTGCATACACATATATATATATATTCATACATGTAGGGTCAGAGTTACAACGAGAAGATCGACATCTGGGCGCTGGGTATCATCGTCTACACCCTCATCGCGGGATACGAACCATTCTACCCATCCAGCGACTGCCTGCACGTATGTACATACAGTACACATGGGATGGATGGATGGATGGATGCCGCACTCACTCACACACACAGACAGACAGCCAGCCAGCCAGCCAGGCAGGCAGGCAGCCAGGCAGGCAGACACTGCGGATGGGCGGGTAGGGAACGTGTGTGCGTGTGGCATCCATGCATCATCGATCAGAGTGATGTGGAGTTCGATGAGCGATACTGGAGTTCAGTCTCGGATGAGTGCAAGGTATGTAGGTCCGGCCAGACAGACCTACACATACATACATACATACGTACATCCGTACATACCACACAGACAGCACACATACAGACAAGGTCTCCATCCATGGAGCGCATTGTCTGTCTGTCTGTCTGCTTTTGTCCCCCCGTCCAAAAGGATTTCCTTGGTGGTGCGTTGAGCCGTAATGTGTCCCGTCGTTTGTCTGCCGAGGGCGCTATAGCGCATGGTTGGTTTCACTGTGCGGCCATGGACACGCCGAGCGGCCATGCCCTCATGCCCGAGGGGAGCGGCACGGGCGGCACCCGACCCAGCCAGCCGGCACTCAACCCCAACCTCTGGCTGCCACCACAGGGATGCCACGGACACAGACTCAGGTAGAAAGGGCAAGGGAAGCAAGGAAGGACTATCTACGGACACGAAAGGAAGAGCCGTCTACACAGACAGACAGACAGACACTAGTGGGGTGGGGCAGGCAGCCATGCAGGCAGGCAGGGAGTTCTTCGCTCACTCATTCACGCGCAGGCCCTGCCCTGTCCATCCATTCCATTCATCCATCGACTGGCGAGTCATGTTGGTTGGATTGTTTGTCGTGTGTGTCCTGGCTGCCTGCAGGTTTGGTTCCTGGGTGGATGACGACACATCCAGTGGGGATAGCCGCGCCAGGAAGGCTGTGAGCTCCAGCTAGCCAGCCGGGACAGGCCAGGCCGGGCCCGCCACACGTGTATGTACGTCACGTCCACGGATCCCTGCATACATACTGGGAGGGGAGGGGACGCCAGCTGCTTTGCTTACGAGCAAGCCAAGGCGTCTGTGTGTGTAGCTGAGCTGCATAGCTAGCTCGCCATCACAGACGGCACGGCCAGCCAACAGACAGACCGACAGATGAGTGAGGCAGTCAGTCAGTCACGCCGATTCATCGATGTATGTATCTATCTATCGCACGCACGTCTGCACCGTCATGCGTTACATCATGTGTGCTTAGCTGCGAAACGTGCTATTTTTCTCCGGCCGGCACCAAGCTATGAATGAATGAATGAACGATGGATGGATGGATGGATGAAGAGAGCCTGGCGAGGGTGCGTGCGGCGCGGCTGGGGGGCGGGAGGGGGGAGGGGGTGAATTTGTATGCGTGGCTGGCCGGTCGGCCGGCCGGGGGTGGGTGGTCTGTGGGTGGTTAATTCCGCTCACTGCAGTCAGCGCCCCATGTATGTATCTTTCCGACCAACTAACTGTATTCGGCGGTGGCTCGCTCTTCATCTGTGTCTGTCAGGCAGGGGCATGATTGATTGATTGATTGATTGATATGGGCCTGCCCTGGCCTGCCTGTCTCGTGTCGGAACTCTCTTGGTTGGTTGTCCATTCATTCATTCACCCACTGGACTTGGCTCCTGTCTGTCTGTGTATGTATGTACCATGAATGAATGAATGAATGCACCAACGAACGATACGACTGACCGATACGACCTACCTATATTATGACGCCTGTCAGCCAATCACTCAATGCCTACGGCCCTCCAGTTGCCTCGTCTTCCTCCATTATGGCAAAGTCGGGGTTGGAAAAGAGCTTCTCGAACCGCTTGTCCGTCAGCAGGCTCGATGCACGCTCAGCGGCAGCGGCAACCTTCTTGGAGGCCTTCCCACCCCCACCCTGCACACACACACACCACGCCACACAAAACCAATGATCGATCAAGGGAGGGGAGAATGCGCAGTCAGTCATGTGAGCACATGCATATGATCCTACCTGTGTGGCGGCCTGGACGGTCTCTTGGAGCCTCGACGCTAGCGCCGCATTCACCTTGGGCAGATGATGCTTGACCTGCAGTGCAGGCAGCCGGGCAGGCAGGGGGCAGCCAGGCAGATGTGGGTGTCATTCATTCATGTCAGTCAGTCACAAACATACACGGACACGGCCACACGTAGAGTGCGCACGTGCAGGTCCCACGTCGCAGGCAGAGGTAGGGTAGGTGGCCAGGCCGCGTGGGTGGGGTGACGTGCAGTCAGTGAAAACATCCACACGTACGTACGTACGTACGTACCTGTATCCGCATGGGTTGTTTGTCCTGCATCTTGTCGCGGATCCGCTGTTTGCGGTGCAGTTCATAGGCGGATGCTGTGGTGGTTGCGGCCTTGAGCTGCGAATACAGCCGGGCGTCCATGAAGTACCCGTGCAGGTACGCACGCACCAGGGGCGTGCCCAGTAGGTGATCCGCACCCAACTGGGCCAGCTGGGCCTGGGTCACGAAGCGGAAGTCCTCATACAGGGGGTGGGGTGGGCCTTCATCGCCCTCCACGCCGGGTGCCTGGGATCCCTCCTCCAGCTCCTCCGTCAGACCGTCCAGGAACGAACACCACCTGGACACACACACAGACACACAGACACACAGACACACAGGGTGGAGTGATGCATGCATCCATGCATGCATCCATCCATCCAGCCAGCCAGAGGCAGGGAGGGCACGACACGAAGCGACGGGCACCGATGTCCTCATCGTCCGTCCATGGAGGATGGGGTGTCCGACTGTGTATGCTATGCTGTCCATCGATTGTGTCAGCCAGCGGCGGTGCCTGGCTCTTTACTGCGTACTTACGTGGGTGCGAGTCCCAGGGTCGGGATGAAGTAGAGGCCAATCCGCCTGTCGTCTCGTGGCACAAACACCATGCCCGAGTCGGGATACACGCACACCGAGTTGAAGCTGCCGCCACCTGCTGACTCCACTACAGCCACAGGGGGACTGCTGCTGCTGCTGCCCCCGACACCACCGCCACCCTCCCCAGCAGGAGCAGCAGCTGCAGAGCACACCCTGAGGGTCTGAGCATCGACGGCCGCCACGAAGAGAGCCTGTTCTGTCCCTGCACCACCATCGGCGGCGTCACCGAAGTCGCTCGCACGAGCGGCTCTGCCGCGGTGGAAACACTGGACGGCCCGGATGGCGGCTGAGGTCTTGGTGGCGTGGCTCCAGTAGGGCCGCGATGACCGGATGTCGAGGACTTGCAAGATGCCGTTGACGCACCCCACCGCCAGGCTGAGGCCATTGCCCGAGAATGAGAGGGCTGTGGCGCTCCTTCCGTTGGGCAGCTGTGAGGGGTCGATGGTGCTGTAGAGGTCCACAGTGGATGCAGGTCGTCTGGTGCTGGCGCGTGTGTCCCATGCCTCGATGATGCCGCCCTCGCCCGCAGTGACGAGTAGCGGCAGAGTCGGGCAGACGGCACAGGCATTGAGGGCGGCACAGGTGGTCTTGAGCGGCTCCTCAAACACGCCAGTCTCCACATCGATCCTGTAGATGTCCTCCGACGACCCCACCACATACACCTCGCACGTGTCCGGGTCATAACTCATGCAGCGACCCTCCTTGGGCACACGGATCTGAGGGAGGGAGGTGACACACACACACAGACAGACAGACAAAGGCATGGTCAGGCAGGCAGGCAGACAGACAGATTGGGGACTCGATCTGTATGCGCTTTGTCTGCTGATTGTGTGGTGTTTGTCTGTCTGACAGTGAGTCAGTGCCTGTCTGCCCTGCCCTGCCCTGCGCTGCCCTCACTCTGTGGTGCCTGCCTCCCTGGGCGTGGAATTCGACCCATCGATTGAACTCCAGGAGCACCAGCTTCCTGTGTTGGTCGACACACACACAGTCAGCGAATGAATGAACACTCGCTTGGCACACACTCCCCTCCCTCCCACCCTCCCAGTCCCCCATACGAGAACCACAATCACACCTGGTCTGTCTGCCTGCCTGCCTGCCCTGTACGACGTGTTACCACCGGGTAGGGTGTCTACCTGTAGTCTTGTGAGAGAAAGATCAAGTCGACGACCTCGCTGTCCACACGACGGTCGAACTTGAGACTCAGCTCAGATGTCTCGTACACCTTCACCTACACACACACACACACACACACGGACACAAAGCCACCAAAAGGCGGGAGCCGTAGGTGCATCCATCCATCGATGACATCAGCCCGCCAGCCCCGCATGGCATTGATTGCCCTTCTACCCTACCGATGGTGGGTAGATGCCTGTGGCTGCGATGAACGAGCCATCAGGTGACACCTTGACCGACGAGCTCGCCACCGTGAACTCGAAGCTCTGGAGCAGCTCTATGCGCCGGCGAAACGACGCATCGCGACTGCACACATCCGTATGTATACAATAAGTACAACCAATGTAATTTGTGTCCATCGATTCCATCCATCGACAACAATTAAGGCGTTAGTTATTGATGGTGACTGATGGCTGGCGTCCGTGTTTGTGTTTGTGCTGGTGTGTGTTCTGACCGAAGTGATTTGTTGTGGCGCTGAGCATGCTCGACGAAGTCAGGCAGAGACTTGCCGGAGCTGTTTCACAAGGAAGCAGCACACAGGTCAAGGCAGCAGTTTCAATGAGTTTCCTCACCTGAGATCATACACACGAGTACTTCGGCTGACGACCTCCATGGGCTGATCTGTGTCTCGACCCCTTCCCCGCACCGTGTGCGAGCTCAGGCCGATCCGTCTGCCAGCTAAGCTCACGGAGGCAGGAAGCGGCCCGGGGAGTGCAGGCAAGATGGTACGTCCGCACGCGATGTGGAGATCTTGACGAGAGAGGGCAGATCCCACATATATCTGGTGCGCAAATGGTGTGTGCGTGTGGGTGGTGTGGCCTGTCGTTCAGGGCTCCATCAAGACGCTGCGCAACAAGAAGTTCCTAGCAAAGAAGGTGAGGCGACAACAAACACCACCGGCGCAACAGGACAGACAGACAGATCTGAAGTCCGGCTGTCGTCCTGTGGCCTGTCTGCTCGCCTGTGTTGGTTGTGGTGTCTCCCCCAACGTGATCTGATCCCTCAGATGAAGCAGAACCGCCCCATCCCCCAGTGGATACGGTTCCGTACGGACAACAAAATCAGGTACGTACGTACGTACGTGACCGGCTATGTGGGGCACATCACTCACCTGCTGTAGACAAGAGAGGCAAGGCAGCACCCCCACTCACTCACTCACGTGTGTGCGGCTTGTGGATTGTGTGCTGCCTGCCTGCCTCCCTCTCTCCCTGCCTCCCTGTTTGTCAGGTACAATGCGAAGCGACGTCACTGGCGACGGACCAAGCTGGGCATCTAAGCCGCTCCATGTCAGACGCGCGGGGCGTGTCGAGGCCAGGCGAGGCGGCCGTGTGAGGGGTGGATGGACAGACAGCAGGGGGGCGCGTGTGTGGAGTGAGGGAGAGATGGCTATGTATGTATGGGGTAGCTCATCACTGTGTTTGAATGGATGGACGTTGGTTCATGCGTGTCTGCAACGCATGAGGGACCCCGACCAATCCATCCACCTGCCTGCGTGAATGTGATGTGAGTTACCTCAATCAAGTACTCAAGTACCTACCTGCCTAACTGACGAGTGCGGCCGGAACGATCGGCTCCAGCCCCCACCACACCCCGACACGTAGTATCCATACATACCATACACGTACGCAGCGCATCCGCCACAGTACGTACGTCCAGTGTCTGTCGTCCTTCGCCCAAACACATGCATGGCCGTGCCACTCACTCGCTCCCACATTTGACTTGCCCTCGTTGGTCTGACGACATTTATGTATGGTTCGGGACGTACGACACGAAATACAGGTCAAGTCCTGGTGTCCTGTATGTGTGTATGTAACAGGACACAACCACCCAGTCAGTCGCCATCCTGACTTCCTTTACTCACTGCCCTACTGCCCTGCTGCCCTGCCTCCTATGCCATGGCTATGGTTGGTTCCTTCCTGACCGTCTGTCTCCTCCTGTTGGCCTGAAGCTGTGTGAGTAGGCAGAGCAGGTCGTCGTCCCCGTGTCCCCCCGACATGCCGAGGGCCACCGTTGCACGAATGACCTTTTGCAGCGGCAGGTGTGAGATCTTGGGGAGATCCAACACAAACACACGTACCAGCTGCTGAAGCGTCCACCGGTACTCGCGGGTCTCGGGGCACATAACGCGGCCGTACGCATCCACCACCTTCACCATCTGTACGTACGTACGTACCGTACGGACCGGACCATGCCATGTGGGCCATGTGGGGTGCAAGCCAAGCCACATCATATCATGCACACCACAGACACACGACAGACACAGGACAACACAACAGCCAAGCCAGAATAGCTATCAGATGTCCTGTCGCCTTGTGCGTCTGTCTGTCTGTCTGTCCGTCTGTGTGTGTGTGTGTGTGACGTACGTACGTCCGCAGGCTTCATGCGCCGTGTGAGTGAGGTGTCGGTGATGCCCTTGTCCCGCAGGCGGCCGTGGCATGCATGGAAGAACCCATACACACACGGCTGGGCGTACCGGGCCTCTTTGGCCTGGGGCCATAGCCACACTCCCTCTGGGTCGGGGTGGGCAGCGTCACACAGGGAGCCGTCGGTACAATCACCACTGCCGCTACCCGCAGCCCTCGTGGTCGCTTGCTGCAGCCTCTCGGCCTCGTACCTGGTCGACACAGACAAACAAACAAACAACAAATACATACAACACATATCAGTCAGTGAGTTACCTGCTCAGCTGCCATGCCTACCCTCTCTCTCTGTCTCTCTCTCTCTCTCTGTGTGTGTATCCATACGCGAGTGTGCTAGAGATGGCGTCGTGTGCGTCAGCGAATGCGGCGCAGAGATTCGACACCTCCTGCCAACTAAACGACTCGATCGCGCGCGAACAATGCTGCCCCCACACACAACACAACACACTGTACTGTATCCCTCCCTCCCTCCTTTCCTCCGTCCGCGTGGCTTGCCTGTCTGTCTGTCTGTGTGTCTCACGTCCCTCCCTACGGTGGCGAGTTGTGCGACGAGTATGAAGTCTCTGAGGCAGTTGCCCTTGGCCAGCGCATAGGTGATGCACGCCAGCGTGTTGGGGAGCGGAGGACCCTCCACTGCAGTGCACACCTTGCCGCCACTATGTGGGCCGGTGGTGACAGTCCCTTGGTGTACTCGTGGTGCCACCCCCCTCACCCTGCCGCCCCGGGTGCCACCACCCCGCCGGCCCCTCGGGGCTGGGGGTGTAGGTGGGGATGGCACCTCTGTCGGGGAGCTGGGGGGGTGACTGACGTCCACCATGGTGAACAGCTGCCTGATGTGGCCGCACACACTCGCCAGAAAGCTGATGTCCGGGGCGCCGCTCTGAGGCACAGGCAGGCAAAGTGAGTGGATCGGGGAGGTGTTCTATGAGGTGCTCTGTGTGTGTGTGTGTGTATGACCTTGGTGTAAGCCTGCAGGACCATGCCACTGCTCTGCCAATCACACTCGTGGATGCGCTGATATTGACGCAGGGAGACAGGACAGGACAGGACAGAACAGGACAGGACAGCACGGCACGCACCATATGCACGTTTCGCGACAGCTGTGTGCGTGTACCTCAGCGATGGCCGTCCACAGTAGTGGTAGGAGTGGGTCGTTGACGAGCCCCACCTTGACATACCCATGGGCCAACAGACACAGCTGCCGGGGGTCGGCCTCACCCAATAATGAAGGCAACACCTATCACACACACACAACACACACACGCACACACGGCACGGGGAGACAGACAGACAAAGCGGCTTGGCGATATGCCCGTCCGTCCGTCCATCCGTCTGTCCCTGTGTGGTGTGCCTGGACTGCCTGGGCTGCGCGTCTGCCTGCACCTGCTTGCCTGTGTGACTTGGTGGAAGAATGCTTCGTGTAGTATGTGCACGGCGGCAAAGGCATGGACGGCGACGGCGATGTTGCGGACCGACAGGACCCCTGCGGTGCATGCCAGGTGGTCCCCCAACATCTTGTAGAGCTCCAGGTAGCCCTGGTCGGCTCCGTCGCCCCACTTGCTAAACGAATTGGCCAAACCCGACAACTGGTCAGCCGTCAGGCTGCTGGAATGCTCTATCGCAACCCTTGCCAGCTCGTCAAACAGCTTCTTGACCCTCGACCTCGTCTCGGCATTTGTCCACCCCAACAAGGACATCGACCGATTGTATGCCGTGGCCAGGCTGGTGGCGGCCTGCTGGTCAAGCTCAGTCCTCCGGCCTGGCGAGCTGACCACGTCGACGGCAATTTGGTCGAGGAGTTGAGTGTAGAGCCCCCTCGCATGGGCGATGTCTGGCAGCCCAGACCATGACAAGACCACTCTGCTGAGCTGCTGGAGCGGCATGCGCTCCAGGTGCCGCTTGACGAGCCCCAAAAGATGCTCCAGCACATACAATCGGTCTTGCTGCTGCATGTCGGCTGAGAACTCACACATGGCCGACACGGCCGACACGGTGCCATGGAGCGAAAACACCTTGTGGTGCCGGCCTGTGAAGCGCCGCAGCAGCTTGGTCACCAGAGCCCCAAGGTCACCAACGCCCCCAGCACCAGCACCAGCACCATAATCTGTCTTGTGGAGGAAACCGCCCTCCCCATTACGTTTGGCCTTGACGTAGCAGGTGAGTATAAGGCCGACCTCCGCCGCGTTGAGCTTGGCCATGTGTTCCTCAGCGGTGCTGTGGAAGGTCCTCCAGACGGTGGGATCGTACTGCCGCCTCACGACCGCCTGCATCATGGCCGACAGCAGCTCGGTGACGTCGTCGGTGCCGTGTCGCAGGAGGATCTTGCTGATGGGGGGCGGCAGGCCCTCCAGCTCCACACCAAGCCGATTGCGCTCTGCCAGTGCATCGACCATGTCGAAGGGCACCGTGTCGATGACCTCTAGGTGGGCCTCCTTCTCGGCGCGGCTGCGGGGCTGGTGCAGCTCACCAAACGGCTTGCTGGTGCGGGGGACCGATGATGGTGCAACCTGGCACAGGCAGGCAGGCAGGCAGGCAGGGCATGGCACACGACCAGGCAATCGACAGACAGACAGACAGGCATCCATCCATCCATCGGTGCAATCAATATGTTTGAGTGGGTATGTGTGCATGTCCTGTAAGGATGTGCTCATGGGCTGCGCACCTCCGTCATGTGCGCAACGCGTGTTGCTGCCGGGGTGGAGGGGCAGACAGCAGCACCAGCAGTACTTGCAGCGAGGCGCCATGAGGATATCATCGATGGATGGATGGATGCCCAGATCTCGATCAACCAATGAGGGACCCAACAGGCGTCAGTTGACTGACATGCAAGGAACCTTTTCCAAGAGGGGCAACAGACGGGTGGGAGCGCTTTCAACAACGAACGAACACGAACCATCTGCGCGCTAATCTTTGCAGATCTCTCGCGTCGAGTGGATGATGCAGAGGGTTTGTTCAGGAGCCCTTGGCGGCCCAGCAGCAGTGTGTTGCCGGCCCTGCCGGCTTGTGATTGTTGAGCAGCAGCGGTGCAAAGCAGGATGGGCGAGCAGCCAGGGCATGACGCCAGGCAAGTCATGTCATCAAGTCAAGGGACGGAGGGAGGGAGGGAGGGAGGCCATTGACACGTCACGTCCTCACATTGCCTGGCATGCAAGTCACTCACTGCTGTGCTCTGCTGTGTGTTGCCTGCCTGCCTGGCTGCAGGGAAGGGTCCTGGTCCCCGGCAGCCGGCGAGTGGGTTGCTAGGTCGGCTGGCGGGTAACCTTCAGCGTACGGCTGCCGCTAGGAGGGCGGCTGCCCGTAGTCATCCGGAGGGCAGGGCCCGTGGGATAGACACCCGCAGTGTCCTCAATGCGCCCTTCAGGGCGATGGGGGAGTTCTTTGGCGACGTGACGGAGAAGGGCGTCGGGGAGGCCGCCATGGACAGGTTCAGGGGGTCACGAGAAGAGCGGCAGGAGAGAAGGCTACAGACCATGTACAGATTCCAGAATGAGCAACTCATGAAAACCGAGGTACGTGACCGGGGCAGGCAAGGCTGGGAGGCAGGCAGGCCAAGCCAAGCCAAGCCACCGGTGTGATGTCGGATGTGACGTGCACGCACGTATATATAGGGCAAGTACACCCTACGAGAGCATCTCCGTTCTAAGCGGGTGAGTGAGGCGGCTTCTGTTGGTTGGCCAGTTCGGGGCGCCAGGGCAGGCGCTGACTCAATGCATTCATTGCCTGGCCTGGCCTGTCCTGTCTGGCTGCCGTGTTGTGTTGATGTGTGTCTGTGTCTGTGTGTTGTCTGTGTGTGTGTGTGTATGATGTGTAGGCATACGCTGAGAAGATGCGTTTCATCGGTCCGATGGCGGGGGTCATGTCCTTTCTCGGCAAAGTACCCGGCACGGAAAGGACACTCAAGGAACGTACGTACGTCAGTCAGTCAGTCAGCATTGCAGTCATCCACTCACACACACGTAAATACATACAGTCGTGGTGTGGTGTACTGTGTTGTGTTGTGCGCAGTTGATGTGTTGGAGTCGTTGACTCAGGATGAGCTGGACCAGGCGAGCGCCAAGACCATCAACATGCACACACGCAAACTCATCGCTGAGATCGCCAATGTGTGTACGCCGCCACCGCTCACGCTACGTTGAATGAATGACTAATCAACGTACCTCCCCACTCCACGGGCACTCACCCCTCCTTTGTGTGCGTGTGCGTGTGTGGGTGTGTGGGTGTGCCAGGTAGATTTGAATTTCGTCAAGCAGTGTCTGCTGGACTTTGAGGTGTTGCGGACGGACCGGACGTGGCTCTTCCGGCGGCAGATGATGGGCAAGAAGCTGCCAGAGACCACAGACGAGAGAGAATTCCTCGCATCATGGGACAGACCTTTACGTACGTACGCACTAAGGGAGGCACGGGCGTCTAATGGATAGATGGACGGATGGGTAGCTGCTGATCGGTGTACTGTACACTGGCGCGTGTGCGTGTGTGTGGTTGTGTCAGATTACCCGATGCGTGGGATGGAGGTAAAGGAAATGCTCAAACGAATGGACAAGAAACGCAAATACACATTTCCAAGGTAGGTACCACCTACTGCACTAGACTACTCGTGGGTGGGGTAACACAGAAGGAAGAGCAAGGACACACAGACAACACAGCGAGCACATGTCTCTGGGCGTGGTGTGTGCCTGTCAGGCGCAAGTCATGGATATGGCTCCGACACCGATCGACGTAAGACAGACAGACAGACACAAATGATGACAACCAAAGCGCACATTGTACACTTTCATGAAGGAATGGGCCGATCGGCCGACCGATCGATGTGTGTGTGTGTGTCGTTGATTTGTGTTGTGTGTGGTGTGCAGTGGGTTCTCTCGTTGGGCGACTCAGCCGAACACCAAGAGGTACCCCGCCATCTACTACGCCTCAGCTCTGCGCAAGCGATGGACCCCCAGATACCACATGTACCTCAGGTGGGTGTGGTGTGCAAACACACCTACCTGCATACGACAGACATACAGACAAACGCCCCTGCCTGACACACCTCCAACCTTGATTTGTTTGTATCTTGATTTGATGTGTCTGATGATTGATTGTCCAACATCCATCCCAACCAGGAACAACCCGCCGAAGATCAAAGAAAGATGAAGGAAGCGAAGCAAGGAGGGCCGAGGGCTGGATTGATCATATATTAATATTCATGGATAGGTAGGTAGAGAGATAGATGTACAGTAAGTAGACTGACTTAGGCAGGAGGGAGGGGGGGGGGATGTGTGTGCAGATGGATGGATGTAGAGTGAGGAAGGGACGATGGCTGGGGTTTGTGTCTGTCGTTGGTGCACACGTGTGATTGTCGGAGTGGTGCTGGTAGATTGATTGCGATGCATTGCATTGTCACTAGCTGGGTGATGGACTGATGTTCATTGACTGATTGATTCATTATTACGTATATCAGTTAGTTCACTGGCTAACTAAGGGCTCTGCTCTAACACCATCGGCCAATCGGTGGGTGAAACCGTCTGGACAGCCACACACATCCGGCCATCCATCCGTCCGTCCAGCCTCACTCACAGCACACCACGACACGACACGACCCCCACATGCATTGCAATGCATTCGTTCGCACACGTGTGCACGTCAGTCACAATCAATGGATGTGCGGGCGGGCGGGACGGCGGGCGGCAGTATGTATCTTCTCACTCACTTACAGGCTGACTGACTGACTGACTTTGTCTCTTGTCTGGTCTCTGTCTGGCGAAATATATATGTCTGTATGGTGTCTGTATGGTAGGCAGATGGTAGATGTGTTTGTGTGTGTGTGTTTCCTCTCTCTCCTTGATTATTCGTATCTGGCAGTGTTTCTCTTGAGGATGTCTTCGAGGTTGCCCAGCAGGCGCTTAAACGAACGCCTGTCCAACGCTGCCACCTGTGCACACACCAAAGGCAGCAAACAAAGGGCATACACACAGACGCACTCACTCTTCGTCTCCCCCCGTCCCCCCTCCCCCTCCTCCCTCCCCTGTCTGTCTGCCTGCCTTCCTACCCGCAGGTCTGATTTGGCGATGACGTTGGCGGCTCGCGGCTCGTTCTTGAGCAGCGCCAACTCGCCGAAATAGTCCCCCGAACCAAACTGCATCACCTGCACAGCACAGCAAGGCACAAAGACAGAGGCAGCAGACGGTGGTCCGCATGCAGTGAGTGAAAATGGAGTGCGTGGCTGGTATCGGTATGTATGGGGCCCCTCTTGTGTTGGACTGTGTCATTCATGTGACTGACCTCCTGCGGGCTTTGGCCCTGCACAAACGACTTGGTGGCCACGGCCTTGCCCTCCTCTACACCCACACACACACAGAATACATACAAACATACGCACAACACAACCCATCTCTATCCATATGATATCAATACGTATCGTATCCCCCCAGCGTCGACGTCATGTGGAATCAATCAGCGAGGGGGGTATGTTATGTATGTGAGATGGTATGTATGTGGCCACCTTACTTACCGACGATGTAGAATTTGTCCCCGGGCTCGCCCTGGGACACTATCACGTCACCGTCCTGACCACACACACACCACATATTGTCCATCCTTCCCATGTCTCTGTGTCGTCCATGAAGGTCATGGCGGTAGGCCTGCACTAGCACCCCTTTCTGCGTACGTACTTTGTAAGTTTCGGTTTTGAGTGCGTCTGCGATTTTGGATCGTTCGTATGCGTCCATGGACTCGAGGAGGGGGACCTTCTTAAGGAAGCCCTCATACAGCTCGCGCTTCTTGCTCGCAGCCTCCTTGACGATGTGGTTGAAACTCTCACGGTCCAGCTGCCACAACACACAGCTGGGGACCGACCATCATACACGTGAACGCCACACACATACACGTGAGACATGTGTGTGTATGTGTGTGTCTGTCTGTCTCCCTCCCTCCCTCCCTCCCTCCCTGGTTCCTCCCTTCCTGTTTTGTGTGTGTGTATGTGACATACTTGTCTCTGGCGTTGACCGAGGCAGCGCGTGGGCAGTTGTAGAGGAGTGCGAGTTCGCCAAACGCATCGCCCGACTGGCAGACCTTGACCAGCTTCTCGTCGTCCTCGCCGGGGAACTTCTTGTAGCAGTCGATGGTGCCGCTCTCAACCACAAACAAACAGTCGCCGTCGTCTCCCTGCTGGATGATACGCGTACCTGCTGACACCACCTAAACACACATCCACACACACAGACACACAGACAGACAGACGGACAGGCAGGTGCATGTCTCGCTTGGCATCTGGCCGGCTGGCTGGTGTATGTGTGTGTGTGCGATGCAAAACAGCCGACTGACCTTTTCCTGCATGGCATCGATGACGGTTTTCATGTCTTTTTCCTCTAGGTTTCTGAAGAGGAATGACTGCTCGAGTACAGCCTGGATGCGGGCCTTCTGGTCGTCGCCCTTCTGGTAGACGGGCGCCACGAATGCCTTCTTCTGGTTCCACTTGCCGTAGGCCTCGGCGCTGACCGACTGGCGGGGCCCGCGAGACGCGTACGCCTTCGGGGGCATCGCGGGCATCTCCTCAACCGTGTCCTCATCCTCCTCGTCCTACAGAGACAGACAGACATACGCCAAGAATCAATGAGTGACATGACAACCGCACACAGACAGACAGAAAAACAACAACACAGCGATAAATGGAGCTCTGGATGGTTGCTCGCTCATTCGGTGTGTCAAGTGGGTGAGTGCCACCTGACCTCATCGTCCTCATCGTCTTCCTCGTGGTGTTCGTCCTCCTCGGGCGGCGCCTTGATGCCGCACTTGGCCTCCAAGTCGCGGATGTACTCCTTGAGTCGGCCTATCTCCTCCTGCAGGACTCCCTCATTGACAGAGCTACGGTGCTGGGGTGGGCCCATGGTGGCCCCAGCCATACCCCCAGGGGCTGGCAACTTGGCCTCCTTGCACAGCCACGACACCATGTACGGCGCGGGGTCATCCGGCTTGTCCAGCAACAGCTGGGTCACCAACGCCTCCAGCAACGGGTTGATTTTGCTCTGGATGTAGTCCTGGTGCTCTGCCGCACTCATCCTGACTCACCAAAGGCGGAGATTCCGGTCACCAGACGCCCACCCTGCTGCCGCCGGTTTTTCGCTGAAGATTGGGGCCCACCGCCGTTGGGGGCCAACGAAAGGTCGGCGAATCGGTGCGATCGAATGGATTTGGTTTTGACCGTTGACCATACGTCCATATGTCTCATTGGGCATACGGTTAGTCGGCCCGTTGTTGTGCAATACTATGTGTGTGTTCACTGGCTGGCGTGGTGATACGTGCCAGCCTCGAGTTGCTGGATGACGGCCTTCTTACGCAGGAGCATCTCCACATTGTACCGCAACCTCTCATCAAAGGGCAGCGAGTCTGAAGCCACCCGCCGCAGACGAGAGGAAAGGAAGGACACCACACACACAGAGGGCTCATGAACAGGCGCTGCTGGCCGGATCTGTCTGGCTGTCTGTCTGGAAATGTGAGGGAGTGGCTGAGACCGACCATATCTGGCGTTGATGAAGTCGACCATGAGTTTCCTCGTGAAGACGTTGCAGGCCTCCACACGAGTTGGGTCGAATCGAGCCACCAGCAGATTCACATCGAGCAAACCCTGGACACGACACCATTCCACCACCCAATCAATCAATACGTACGCGCACAGTTTCACTCGTGTGTGTGTGAGAGGGCGTGTGGTCTGTCTGCATCTGTCAGTCATACAAGGAGGACGGGGTGGGAGAGGCCCAGGATGTCCTGGTAGAGGAGATGGGACCTGGCACACAGGTGCCGGATGCTCTCACACAACTACATACATCCCATCCATCCGCACATAGACAGACAGACAGACAGACAAAGAGAGAGACCAGCCATACATAACAACATACATACATACCAACCAACATACATACGGTTCGTTCGTGTCCGCACGCGTGTACAGCCGCCTGACTGACTGACTGACTGACCATCACTTCGAATTGCACACGTGAGAGTGACCCCCGCAGCGGCTGCATGATGGGCAGGCTGAGGAACTCGTTCATGCGCCACTCAAACTCGAGCACGTCCTGCACGCACTCACACACACACACACACACGTGTAGGGTAGGGAACCAACAGCAATAGATCATTCATTCAGCCCACCCACCGACCCCCCGCCCCGCCTGTGTGTGGTGGCTGGGCTGGCTGACCTTGGCGAGTGTGTTTCTGTGTATGCGTTGCAGCCACTCCTTTCTGTACAGGTGTCTCTTCCGCTCCCGCCTGTCGGCCATCGTGAACATTCGGGGGCCCACCTCCTCGTCATCGACCATCTTGGGGTCCAGGTTGCTCTTATCGACGTTCCCATGCTCGTCGGTCTGCACCCAGCCATCGCAACACCGCGCTTCGCACGCACCCGGCTGGTCACATCCGTCCATTGACTGCTACCTTATGGTCAGGGAGTATCCTGTACAGGTCGGTCTCCAAATGGCTCTGGTCAGCCGCCAGCTTGCTGCAGTGCACCCACCCATATCATACAGTAAGCATAAATCATGCATGGGTGCAGGAAGGCCCGGGGTCGATATCTATTTACTTGAATATTCGCTTGAGCTGGTCGACGTTGCCGCCGACGAGTGTCCAGACGGCATCGAACTGCTCCTCGCGCTCAAACAAACGGGGTATCATAATGGACCTGACAGACACGTCTCACACACACACACACACACCCAATGACGGACGCATTCATACATATGATGCGGTAGGTGGATTGGATTGCTGGTGCGTCTGGTTGTGTGTCTGGCTCACTTGGCCATTTCCATGTCGAAGGGTTCCACTTCACACACCTCCATCTTCTTGCTGGACGGCCAGGCTGTACGTGGTCCATCATCCCCCTTGTCGCCACCGGATGACATGTGCGAGGTGGCGTTGACCAGCGCAAGCGAGTCGCTCGTCTCAAACAGCAAGTGGAAAGTGCCACTGGCAGAACCCGCCGCCGGCTTCCGGCCGCCTGTGGTGGTGGGCCCGCTGCTGGTGTTGCTGGTGTTGCTGCTATTGTTGTGGCAGATGTCATCTCGTGTTTGCTGCAGGGCTCTGACGAAGTTGGGCCCCTGCTGGTCCTGGTGCAGGAAGGGCGACCGAAACAGAGCTGCCGCGTTCTGAACTATCACACTCACTGGCACCTGCAGACAGACAGACAGACAGACGTGCGTGGGAATGACACACACACACCACAAGGCCCCAGCCTCAGCCAGCCAGTAAGGTGCTCACCCCCTGGACTGTCTTGATGTAATCGAGAACGGCGAACAGGTACCTCATGACCTGAGGAAGTGCAACGAGAGCAACAAAGGGATACACAAGACAGACAGTGGGGCTGGGCGAGGGACCCGTGGCTCTCCCTCCCTCCCTCCCTCCCTCCGTCCCCCCGGATGAACCTGGAGGCTCTTGTTCAGGTATGTATCTGGGGCAGGCCGGCTGCCTTTGGCTGCTGCTGCCGCGTAGCCGCCCTCAGCGAGGGTGCGGAGGATGAATATGCTGCTGGTGAATGGGGAGGGGTCGGGGAGGGCACCGACGACAGCAGGGTAGTGCTGCTGGATGAACGACACCATCTCAGCCCATGACTGACCACTGAATGCACCCTGGACGGACACACGGATCCATGAGTGCAGGCAGTTGCAAACAAGCGAGCGGCAGTGGCGTCCCGTGCACATACATACACCTGCTGACCGAATCGATGACTTGGATGAATTGTCTGCAGCCTGTCGCCTGCTGCGTCGTGAGGGCCGCACTCGCCCCCCCTGGCAGAGACACAGACACCATGTTCGTTCGCCTGAGTGACTGCAAGCAAGGCGGTGCCTACTCGCTGTGTTGATGAGTTGCTCGAGGAGGGCCTTGACGGCTTGGGGGAAGTGGGGGTCGTGTCGACACACTGCATCGTACACCCAATCGCTGCAGTGCACACACACAAATGCAAAGAAGGGCAGGAAGCACCTGACTGAGTTGTTTGTTGCCTTTCTGTCTGAGTAGCTTAGCTGTTCATTGAGTACACTACCTACCATGCCTCCAGTCCATCGGTCTTTCTGAAGGTGTGTTGCAGCTGTGCCGCGATGGACCTCTCAAGCGTGTCGAAGAAGGCCTGTCAGTCAGACCGTCCCACATGCGTCACTCACTGCTCATCCATTCAGTCCTGGCACGGCACGCCACACTTACCCTGAAGTTCTTGTCCGCATGGGGCGCACAGTCGAATGTGATGACCTGAACGAACGAATGAATGGACCACACAGCACAGCAGCAAACACAGAGAACAGGTCAAGCAGGTGTGTACCAAGGCAGAGGCAGGCAGGCACGTATCACTCACGAGTGGTGTCTTGTTGAGCGGGGGTATGGGTGTGTTGGTGCCTGGCAGTGCGTTGGGCACCCATGACTGGGAGGGGGCCGTGATGCTCTTGATGGCGTAGTCTATCGCCCACTTCTTGCCGCAACCCTGCGGACCAACCAACCACATGCACCCTGGTGGACCACTCACACACAGAGACCCACGAATGACGAATGAATGGATGGATGGCTCGGCCTGTGCTATGTGTGACGCTTTGCTCGAGACCCTGCGTATGCCGGTCTGTCTGTCTGTCTGTCTGTCTGTTCTGTCTGACCTGGTCCTGTGGTCCTGTTGGTGATGAAGAGGTACAGTTTGGTCAGAAGGGTCTTTCTCAGCACTCGCGGCCAGGCGTCCATCGGCAGCTCGTACACACCAGCCATCGCAGGGATGGGACCTGACGCGCGCACAGACATCCGCACAGTGCAAGGCAATCAGTGAAAACAACACAAGCATCTCCCTCCGCGTGTAGGGGTGTGTGTGTGTGTGTGTGTGTGTGTGACCTGGCTGCCCATGGACTGCAGCTGTGTTGGCCCTCGCTGCTGACGAGAACCTTCGGCTGCTCAGGTGTCCGCATGATGGCAGCACAAAAACCCTGACACCACCAGAGCCAACTATGAGTCGCACTCAAAGATCTGTGTCGTTTCACTCCTGACCTGCAACGGCAATCCAATTTCCTTGTCGGTAGCTGCGCCATCGCACCCTTCCTTTCCCGGTGCTTTGAAACCTCACAGGGTTTAGGGTCTAGGGTTTATCAAACCCTAGGGTTTATCAAACCCTAGACCCTTAAACCCTACACCCGAAAAACCCTACCGAAAAACCCTACCGGTAGTGAGGGCGTGGTGCACTGAGCAATGGTGCTGGAGAAGATCAAGTACATCACATCGCCGACTGCCTACCATGTCGTGCACAACTGGTGAGCACACCGCCTACCTGATGAGTGAGTGCAGGGATGGTATGGATAGACAGACAGACAGACAGATGCACTGATGGATTCATGGCGCTGCACGTTTGTCTGTGTGTGCAGCTACGATGGCGGCCGGCTGCCCCTGCTCAAGATCTCTGCCTGGCAGAGTGACAAGCGCCTCTACTGGAAACACAAGTGGCGGAGGGGGCGCGTCAAATGCCGCTTCGGGAAGCTGAATCGACACCATGGGAGCGAGCCCGACTTCCCTGACCCCGCCATAGTGCCCCTGGAGACCGTGCCGCTCATCGCCAAGGAGGCGGCCCTCAACAATCTGACAAATGCCGAATTCTGGCGACAGTATTGCGAGCGGCTGCGGCAGGCGCGGGACGTCATGTCGGCCAACGACATCAGCAACGTGCTCGACTCGCTGGTGGCGATCAACTACCGCAACGTGGAGCTCATGAAGCTGTGGAGCCGGGAGCTGGTGGACGACGTCAAGCAGCTGCGGCCCGAGGAGTGTGCCGTCATCGCCAACGGATACGCACACTTCAACTGCTACAGCCCCGACCTCATGAAGGCACTGGCTGACCACACCCTCTTCCTCATACACCCCAAGAGCCTCATGCTCCCGCCAGCCTCCACTGACCAGCACCAGCCACAGATGCAGATCGCCGGACCGCAGCACCAACAGTCATCCTCGCAGCTGATGATGCCCCCCGGCGACTCGCCTGCCCCGGCACCATCCGACACAGGTGGACCGAGCGACGGTCCACGGGACAGGGCTTTGGCGGCGGGCTTCACGCCCCGGTCGCTGGGAGTGTTGCTCAACTCGTATGCGAAGCTGAATCACTACCACCCCCTGCTGCTGCAGAAGGCGGCCGAGGGCCTGGCGGCTGACGCGTCGGAGCAGCTGAGCATCCGCCAGAGGACCACCGCCAGGGCCATGTCGCTGTCGGATTACGCCAACGTACTCGTCCCCTTCGCTAGGTTCGCATACCGGAGGAGAGGCGACATCGAAGAGGGTCTATCAGGAGCAGGCAGTCGGCTGGGCACCGACATGAGTGTGGCGCGTCTGTTGGAGGCGATGAGTGTCCCGCTGGTGGACAAGCTCGAGATGCTGGCCCGCAACGGCAAGGAGCTGCTGTCTGAGAAGGACGTGAGTGACGAGATGGAGTCGAGCCCCGAGAGGGAGATGTTCCTGAGGGAGGAGGGCAACCAGCCGATGAGCGCCGAGCACTCGTACTCGTACACCAACGCCACGGGATGCGGCAACCCATGCCACGTCCTCGCCACCCTCCAGCCGTCAACCGGGGCCACACGGGCCAGGGGCAAGTTCACCCGCAACGATCGCTTCTCGACGTGCGCTATGCCCCCGGGGGTGGGCGTCGGGCTGGGCATCGGCAGCAAGACGGCCATCAACGTGAGCTCCACCTTCGCCTTGTCGTCGGCCGCATCCGTATATCTCTCCCTGGTGGTCCTCTACACAGCGAACAAGTCGCGCGGCGGAATGCCATCGTCGCTTCGGTCGGCCCTGCTGAAGCTGCTGGCGATGCAGCTGCAGCTCATCCAGGCGTACAGCCTGCGACAGCTGGAGGCCATCGCCGCGACACACCACAGGAACCACATGGACTACTTCTCGGAGCCTGACCTGACCACACAGGGGCTCACCGCCGACAAGGCTATGGCCGAAGGCGAGCAGCAGGACGCTGCCGTCTCCACTGGCCGCGTGAGGCTGCGTCTGAGTGAGGATGAGGGCATGGACGAGTCACTACCAGGCGAGATGATGGAAGGTGAGGAGCCCGAGGGCCTGCCGCCCTTCCCGGAGGCCAACCCGGCCCCGTCTCTGCTCTTCAGCTCTCCAATGAGTGGTGTGGCTGAGGGAGAGGGTGCGCTTGTGGCCGTCGAGGGCGGCGGCGAGGCCATGATTGACACGTCCACGGCTTTGGTGAGGAGTCGGGGTGAGGTGCTGCCGCGGGGCGGCGAGATGGTCGAGGAAGAGGACGAGGGCGAGGAGGGGGAGGATGTGCTGCCGAGGGTGTCGATAGAGCGGCAGGTCAAGCTCAAGGACTCCTTCCACACAGAGGTCTACGCCAGCTACGACCCCATCATCGCACACAGGAGACACAGGATCCTCGCGGCACTCGGCATCGCACTCGACGCACTCGCAATCGAATGCAAACAACGGGTGGGCTGGCTGGCTGCGAGAGGGGCCACTGAGGGAGGAGGGAGGAGCTCCAGGCCAACCAACATGTGTATGGATGGATGGCTGGTGTGTGTGGTGGCATCTATCGTATTGATCAGGTGGGGGGCGATTCTGGGCCGGCGAGTGACTACTACGTGCACATGATGACAGGCCAACACACGGTACGTACGGTCACCTCACCAGCTGACTAATTGCACTCAGCCAGCCACCCAACATGTGTGTGTGTCTGATTGTGCGCCTGTGTGCGTGTGTGTGTATGTGTGTGCGTTCTGCAGATGAGTGAAGACGAGTTGGCCTTTCTGTCCCAGGCGATGGAGGTGCTGCGCGCCACAGGCTGCGTTGGGATGGCCCCGTCCTCCCTCGTCTCGGCCATGGAGCTCTTCGCCGTCTGGCGCCGCCATGTCGACGACACCCAGGGGTACGACGTCACCCCCATGGCACACGAGGCCGTGCGCAGGGCCATCACACTCAACGGAGACTTCAGGCGACTCGACAGGCTCAACAAGGCTATGAATCTGGTGGGTGGGGGGAGGGAGGGAAGGTATTGTTCACGGCAACGCAGCGAGCGCAGCAGATGTTTGCTGCCCCCCTGGTGGGGTCGGTGTGTGGCATTGTGTTCAGGATGCCTACAGCGAGTATGCTCTGCAAAGGCCTCACTGAAGTGCTGGATGGGTGGCCTGACTGACTGGCTGTGCGGTGAAGGGCGACAAGGCAGGCATGGCTGCATGTATGGCCAAATGACCGGTGCGGACGTATTGTAAGTCAGATTCTCATCCATCCATCTATCTGCAGACAGAGAGGATATCATATGAGGGGTTACATACGTACATCCATGCATCCATGCATGGCATGCATGTCATTGAAGAATGAATGTATGCACACTGACACTGACACTGTCCCCATCTCACCAACGCATGTGTGTATGTATGTATTGTCACCCTAAGCCATGCGATCGTTTGTGCTGCAAAATGGCAAGGGAGGTGGCGCCCCTCAGCTCCTCCCCGCACACTTCACACTGCCACACCTCACCCCTCCCCACCGCAGCACCAGCAGCAGATGCAGCAGATGCAGATGCACTCACGCCACCCACCATCTCCCCTTCTGCAGCAGAAGCGGCGGGGGCCGCCCCCTCCGCCTCTCCCTCTCCCTCTCCCTCTCCGTCTTGCGTGGTCGCTTTGCCGCACTCCTTTTTGTGCTCGGCGATCTGTCTGCGGTTGAAGCGAAACGTTTTCCTGCAGGTGGGGCACTCCCAGCTGACGGCTATCTGATCGGAGGCCAGCGACTTCTCCACGCTGATGGTGCTGTAGATGGTGTTGAAGTGTAGCCAAGGGCACAGCTCCACCCCCTCCCAGCCCTCCTGCTGCTGCCCTGGCTTGTGATTGGTGTCGTCTCCCGGCTGTTTGCGGAACGCCTCATACTCCCGCTCAGTGAGGCTCTGCGGCGCATACTCGAGAGGCTGCTCGAAGAACTCTATGAGTGTGGCCTCCAGGTCGCTCTCACTCATCGGCTGCGGCGGATCCGAGAACACCAGACGCAAATCCCGCGGCACGCTGCAGCCAGCCAGCCAGGCAGACCAACAATACATTTATTACACACACAAGCAAGGGAAGTAAGACGGGCACGGAGCACTGGACGACGCACCAATCCATGCGGCTGGGTGTGAGCCTGTCTGTGTAGTCTGTCTCACCTGTCGGGCAGGTCCTTGTTGCCCCAGTCGACATCGGTGCTCTCCCATAAGTCCTCGCTCTCCTCCTGTGCCTGACCCCCGTCACCCACCTGGCCGCTGAATATCCTCTGCACTGTGGCGTCCTGCCGCACCAGGAGGTTCCACCGGAGGGTATAGGTCAGACGCAGGAGTGGGGCCACCACCAGCATCGGCTGCGTGAGCATCACCTGGATCCATCCGTCGAAGATGAGCAGCGAGAAGTCCTCGTTGGTGTCCACACGAGAGGCGGCCATCAGTAGCAGTGGAAGGAGCGGCACCGGAGTGACATGTGTCACGAACGGCTTGTAGGTCTGCAGCAGGGAGCCGTAGACCAAGCACACCGAGGGGTCGCTCATGTCCCTGGCGTGGGGGAAGAGGCTGCTCTGCGGGTGCAGGTTGACGAAGGCCACGTATCGCGTTACAAACACGCAGTCCTGGGACGATGCCTTGGCCTGGTTGGAGGGGTGGGGCAGGGCCACATTGGGGTACAGCGACAGACAGACGAGCACGCGGAGGAAGCTGAGCTCCTCCCTCGTCAGCACTCGCAGTGTCTGGCTGAGATCGGCTCGCGTGGCGTACTTGAGCTCGAATTCCAAGTGCCTCTCGAGGACCCGAGAGCTGACCCCCTCCATCCCCAGGTGACCTCTGTCACCATCCGGCCGCACGCGCACCTTCTTGTCGCGTTTCCTCTTCCGACTAGCACGGGGCTCCTCCCTCTCCTTGCCCTCCCCGCCGCTGCCCTGGTCGTTGTAGTCGTCCTCGGCCTGCTCCGAATAGCGTGTGGCGCCACCGCCAATGTCCTCATCCTCCACCAGAGCCCCTTCGCCGTCCTCGAGTGCGAGCTGCCTCTTCTCCCTCCGGCCCTCACTGGCCTTGAGCTGCCGCAACTCACGACGCATCTCGTCACGCCGCTGCTGCTCCTCATCACCCTCCTGACGCGGGGCCGTGTCGTCTACGGCTCCGCCAATGGCCGTCTCGAGGGCATTCATGGCGTCGTGTCGCCGCTTCACGTTGCCGAGGCCTGGACGACGCCTCCGGGCCTGTGAGTCGGGACCCACTCCCTGCTTGATGACGTCACACAGCTGGGAGGAGAGCTTGGTGAGTTCGAACATCCTCTGCTCGTCCACACCGTGCTGGCGACACCACGAGTGCGCCTTGCGGCTTCCGCCGGCGAGCTCTCGACCCACATAGGGCTGGGCGTCCCGGGTGGTCCCGCTGTTGGTTGAGGTGCGCTGCTGCAGCCATGCCGTGTAGACATTGTGTGTGGTGAAGAGGTCGCCCAGCTTGGGGCCCTTCTTGGGGTTCATCCCAGACACGCTTGTGTCGTCGCCGTCTCTGGAGACACCCGAGAAGTGGTGGCCGCCTGGCTTGGGGACGAAGGGTGAGTGGAGGGACATAGCCGCCGCCAAAATCGACGCATGAGACAGCTTCTTGAACAGAAGCGCAATGATCAGCAGCTTGCCGACTACATTGCATACACCAACCAACAGGCAAAGACAAAAATGGAACGAACAAGTGAGTTGGTGTCCACTTGGAGTGTGTGGGTGTGGCTGCACACCTGAGATGGCGACGGGCAGCCTGCTCAGCACCCGTCCGAGCGGCGTGAGGCGGAGTGTCTTGCCTCCCAGAAGCTTGCTCACGATCACACTCGTGGGCCAGGTGTTGTCCATGTCTGCTGCCGCGTCTGCCGCAGGCGTCTCATCAGCGATGGCCATCAAATCAGCGTCCGTCTTGAGCGCTGCCTTGGAGAGCACCAGTGTCTGGATGGCCGCCTGGATGTTCTTGACGGGCGGATTGTCGGGCAAATCGAACTCATGGACGCTATACCTGCAGTGGACGAATGCAGCCAGCAGTGCAGCAATCCATCAGGGGTGAGGTGAGCGGGCGGCATGGATGAGAGGGGCAAGTGTGCTGGCCGGGCCGGGTTGGTTGACTGGTGTGTGTGTGTGTGTGCGTGTGTGTGTGTGTGGACAGTCGTTAGTTACATGCATGCATACCCGAGTGCCAGGACCGACAGCAGAATGCCCTCAAGCGGCACACGGTGCATCTCGGGGAGGGCGAATGGTTCGAACAAATCGTAGAGACGCTGGACACAAGGAATGAATGCACACACACACACACACACACACACAGAGTCAATGAATGTCCCGCCTGCAGTCTGCGTGGCGTGACTGACCTTTGAGTAGAGTCTCCAGCACTGTCCTGGTCCCGTCCTCCCCGCCCGCCCCTTTCGCTGCTCGGCGGCGGCCTTGGAGATCCAGCGCTCAGAGAGGTGCTTGACCGAGGAGGTCACCTCGACATCCATCTCCTTGCTCTTGCCGCTGTCTATCACAAACCGAATCCCGTCTATTGTCACACTGGCACGCACACACCACACCAAAGCCAAGGCAGCAGCCGCGTCGATCATCAATCAACGCATCCATGGCTGGCTGGGTGTCTGCGTAGTGGTCCCTCCCCACCTGGTCTCGGCGATGTTTGTGGCCACGACGCACTTCCTGACCCCAGCAGGCGGCAGGTCGAACACTTTGTCCTGCAGCTCAGACCCCATTTGGGAGTGCAAGGGCAGCACAATCCACCTACACACAAAAAATATATGCACCAACATCAACCAACTCCTACGGTGCTGCCGCTGGTGACATATGTGATGGAGGTATGTGTATGTGTGTGTGCATGTAGGTACCTTCTTGTGTGTTGTGCGTATTCCCTCAGCGCAGTCACAAGTGTGTCGATTTCGTAGGCGCCCGAAAGGAAGACGAGGACGTCGCCTCTCTCGTCGCGCGGCACCCGCTCGTCGATCCGCCGGATGACGGCCAGGTACGGCTGCACATTGAGCTCTGTCCGCCGTATGCGCGTCAGAATGTCGGTACGGATGGTCTCGGGCTCATCTGCAGACACAAGGGCGGGGCGGGGCGGGGCAGGCAGCAGAGAGAGAGAGAGAAACTTCCATCCATCCATCCACCAAAATGAATGTCATGTTAGCTATTTGTCTTGACATGCCTTGTTGCGGGATGTTTTCCACACTGACAGGGAAGGTCCTGCCGGGAACGCGCAGAATCGCCTCGTCCGGGATGCCGAAGAAACTGAGAACAGAAACAGTCCCCATTGTGTGTGTGTATGGATGCGTGCGGTGTTGCTCGTTGACTTGTCCGTCCCTCACTTGGCGAACAGTCCGGTGTCTATGGTGGCGCTCATGAGCACGACTCGAAGATCAGGGCGCTGCGCGAGTATTTGCTTGAGCACCCCCAGCATCAGATCCATGGTGATGTGCCGCTCGTGGACCTCGTCCACGATGACCACATCGAAGTCATTCACGGTGCCGTCGCCCTCAAGCAGCCGCAACAAGAGCCCCTCAGTCACAAACAAGATCTGACATGCAGACCCCAACAACCATTGATTGACTTGCCCGCCGTGTCTGTCTCTCTCTGTAGGTATCATCCATCCCGTGTTGGTTGATTCACCTTGGTGTGTTGTGTTCTGGTGCTGTCGAATCGGATTTGGTAGGCGATCCTGCTGCCCCATGTCTGGTGGGTCTCCTGCGCCACTCGCCTGCACCACATATGGGATGTGATGGCTGGAATAATGAGTGAATGCACGCGGCCATCTGTCTGCAGATCTGTGTGTGGGCTGTCTGTCATCTCATCCATGTGACTGGCCTGCATAAGCTGATAGCGGCGATTCGCCTCGGCTGGGTGCAGATCATCGATTCGAAGTCCCTCGACCTCAGCAAGTACTGAGGGACCTGTGTCGACTTGCCACAGCCAGTTTCTCCTTGGATGAGAACAACGGGGAATCGCTTGACGGCCGCGACAATCTCTCTCTCGTACGCAGCGATGGGCAATTTGGCCCTGTCCTCGTCCATCTTGCGACGCTTCTCGTCCTCGCTCTTCTTTCTGAAGGCCCTGTAGTGCTCTATCGCCCTCTGAAACTCCAGGAGGTCACCCTCCAGCTCCTGACTCACACTGTCGCTCAGTCCGCCGCCCCTCTCTCGGCCCCCCCGCTGAGCCAACGCAGCCACGCTTCGCCGTGCCCGATAGAGGACGTCATCAGACAGGCGCTTGCGACCACCGCCGCCGCCCTTCTGGCCCTGGTCGTCGTGTCGGCGCTGCAGCAGCACCATGTACTTGTCAAAGAATGTATCAAACTCAGGCTCACGGATCTCCCTCTCATCGGGGAAGATGTCACTGCACAGCGCACACACCAACACACAGAGAGTGCCCGACTAACGAGATGGTTTGGTTATCTTTCACCAGAGGAGCTGCCGTGAATTCTGCCACAGGTCCTTCAGGCGTGAATGCAGCGGCGGCCGGGAGGGAGGGTCATCGAATCGCCGCGGGGATCTTGATCGCGAGCGATACCGCCGTCCTCGCGAGTAGTTAGGCTCCATCTGGGCGGTTGGTTTGTTGGTTGGTTGGTTGGTTAGTGTGTAGCGAGACTCGTAACACCTCGAGGTCTCCAACTCTCCTTTTCACAGAAACCCTTCACCCTAGCTGAAAACCCTGGTCCTTGCCGCCGCCAACATGTGCGTGGCTGGCCTGGGTATGTGTTTCAAATTTGTGCTGAGATGCATGGGGCTCTGCTTTCAATGCTCAAACTTGGCCGTGTCTCTGTATTCGGTCGGTTGTGTGTCTGTATGTCTCACGCTCGAAAAGAAACACTCATGTTTTCCGCCTTCTTGGTCCTCTGGGATGAACGCTGACTAGAACTGGTACACATCACCGGTCGCCACCCCGACAGCTGTGCTGGTCCTGCAAGGGACAAAGAGACACGAGAGGGATTCACGTGCAAACCGTTCACATCCACCCCGATTCACTTGAACATGATTTTCGTGGGGTTCGCCTTGATGATGATCAAGGAAACGGAGCCCCCATCATTCGTCGGCACCAACACCTGCACAAACACACACATTGTGTGATTGACAAGGCACGCATACATACATACATACACAGACATATGAATGAATGAATGAATGGGACCTCGGAGATGCTGAGGTCGTCCACCTTGATCGTCGACGGATCGGTCCAGACCAGGAAGCCGAACAACTGAGCCCCCATCTGGCTAGCCGAAAGCAGCGCCTTGTCCTCGTCAGTCATGTTCTCTTCGTCGAAGGTTTCCTTGATGAACGTGTCGGAGAATTCCTTGCACGACATACAGCTGGGAGGACTACGACACGTTTTGTAGCCTTCGCAGAACGGGGAGCCACCATCCTGCATGAAAAAGGCATGTTCTGAGGGCGTATATCTACTATGGGTGCATGACCGCCAGTTCGATTCCGGTGAATTTCCTGGTCCACTGACAGACAAAGTCGAAGGAGGAGAGGCATACGGTGTGCACAGCTGGATGAATCAGTCGGCCAGCCAGCCAGCCAGCCAGCCAGCAGTGACTTACGGCAATCTTGTTGCCAGAGGTGGCGTCGTAGATAGTGATGATGAGCTTGTCGTTGCCCTGTGGAGATACAAAGGTGGAGGACACTGCATGGTTTGTGCCTTCCCTCCCCCCACGCACCATCACGCCATTCATCCAACGCATCCGAATTATGTATGTCTCTGTGCACTGCAGTAAGTACCTCGCCGAGAGGATGAGTGAAGCCAGGCTCCTCGGGCTTGGCCGGAAACTTCGCCTCTGGAGCTTCAAGTTTCCCCTCGGGCATGGTGAGGACACACTTCGCCCAGCCCTTCTGGGTCTCGAAGCCTGTTCAGTGGATAACAAAGGAGGATTATATCCTGAGATTGCTTTCAAATTCTCAGCCTACAAAGGACGCGGTTCAGCCTATGCTCGGTGTCGCTCTCAGGTTTGGGGTCGCCCTTCTGCATACAGAATCATACATACTGCCGATCACCTTGCTACCAGCTTGCTGACCAGATTAACCGAAATCACAGCCGCTCGGTAGCGGGGCTTGGCCTTGGAGAGCGTCTTGATGTAATTCGCTTTCTTGGCAAAGGGACTTTTTCTCAGCGTGAAACGGACTTCGGTGTGGGCTGGATGAATGTCATCAGATGCCTCAGATGACTCAGCGGACCCTCCTGTGAGACACCAATGGGCCTTTGCTGCCTCGCGTGAGAGCGTGACTCAACCTCGGCAAGCAAACTCGCCTATTCGGTCGCAAATCGCCGTCGAGAATGGTTCATCTTCTGACAATCAAAATGCCTTTATTTCTCCATGGAGTCACTCTTTCATCGGTCCGCTCTTTCACAGAGGGGTGCTTCATGTGTCTTGCGGTCATTTCGAGCCATGAGTGGTCGGCCCGAATGGCTGATTTGAGTCTGTTTGTGAGTTGCTTGGCTTATGCGGTTCATTTTGCTTGTGATCAGAGTGATCACAGTCACCAATGGGCTGATTGCTTGACAGAAATGATTGCTTCATGTGGTGATTGCTTTGTCACATGAATGAGACACGCGATAAGCAACCGAGACACGATGAGAATGGGCGATGGTGGTGTGCTGTGCTCCTCTCTGATGCCGCTCTGTACTCCTCGATCACTCACTCATACATAAACATGCGTATGCAGGTGACTGCTTCACTCACTAACTGAGGGTCGACCCACCGCCCGGCAAGCAGGTGGGTCGACCCTCACTTAGTGAGTGAAGCAGCCACCTGCATACGCATGTTTATGTATGAGTGAGTGATCGAGGAGTACAGAGCGGCATCAGAGAGGAGCACAGCACACCACCATCGCCCATTCTCATCGTGTCTCGGTTGCTTATCGCGTGTCTCATTCATGTGACAAAGCAATCACCACATAAAGCAATCATTTCTGTCAAGCAATCAGCCCATCCCGATCACTCTACTCACAAGCAAAATGAACCGCATAAACCAATCAGTCACTCATCAGCCATCCAAAGCGACCATTTCATGGCTCAAAATGACCGCAAGACACATGAAGCACCCCTCTGTGAAAGAGCGGAAAAATGAAAGAGTGACTCCACGGAGAAACACAGACATTTTGATTGTCATCTTCTGAGATGAAGCATTCTCGATTTTGCGACAAAAAAGCGACCTGGCAGTGCGTGACCGAGCTTGAGCCACGATGACATGAACGGAAGAGCAGCGGCTTCGCGCTTGAAAGGCAGCAAAGGCCCATTGGTGACTCACAGGATGGTCAGCTGAGTCATCTGAGGCATCCGATGAGTTCACACAGCACAGAAGTCCGTTTCACGCTGAGAAAAAGTCCGTTTGCCAAGAAAGCGAATTATGTCCTCGACGAAGCTGTGAGGGCACGTGGACTTATTGTTGGTGACATGGGCTTCGTGTCCCGCCGCCATCTCTTCCACATTTGAGGCTGCGCATTGCAGAACAAGATGGCCGCGAGGATGGCAATAGGCGCCATGGCAGGACTAGGCAGGACGTATTCGGGGAGCCACGCACGAGAAGGGGGCCGACAAATATGACACGGACGGAAGGCGGCAAGATGTGCATGCGAGTGGGGGCGTCTCGATCTACGCGACATATGTTATGTGCTGGATGATTCATGGTATGCTGGTCAGTGTCTAGATTTGCCCTTCCTCGGACATCTCCATCTTCTGTACGTTTGTAGATGCACCGCACCGAACGGGAGAATCCATCTGCGTGAGTTTTCAAACAGCCCGCACACAAGGTCACGACCAGTCGTAAGACAAGAAACTCTCACCACTCTCGCTGACGGCCAGTCAAGTCAGTCAGTCAGTCAGTCAGACGCCCGCACTCTCACCTCACATCGCAACACTCGCTGCCCGCTACGCTGCCACGCCGCGCAGGGCTCTCAAACAACTCTCACACGCAACACGCACGCACATGGTCATGTTGGCATCCCATCCCCCGATCTTTTTCTCTGTCTGTGAAAAAGCACCACCCTACCCCACCTTGTCGACCTACCCACGGGCTGATCTGATGCACACCACGCACCACACGAGTTGGCTGCCCGCAGGATGCCGCTCTGCGGCCCTGCTCGCTGCCTCGTGCTTGCATGAATGCATGGTGCAGGCCATGTTATGTTGTCTCGCCTCGCCAGCACTGTGAGTGACCAAGGCCCGCCCCGCCAAGCCCTCATCACCGGTGACCCAGGGCAAAATTGGTTCATCCATGCAATGCATACATACATCACACCAACGCACGCAGAGACACACACATCCCGGCAAAGGAACCCTCAAGCAGACAGACGCGTACATCCACGGGCAGAGAGGCCGCTGTACCAATCAAACGGCCACCAGCCGTCTTGGCATGATGGAACACATCACGCGCATATGTGTATTGTATGAAGGGAAAGCCAGTCAGGCGGGACGGGAAGAGCAAGTGGCCCATGCTGGCGCGGCACGTACCAATAAAATCAATCAGGCAGAAAGAAACACAGAGAGAGAGAGGTGTGTGGAGAGCAGGGTGTGGTGTGAAAAGGGGTACAAACGTACATGCGCCAAGCATACATACACACACAGCGAAACACAACAAGGGTCGGGAGGGAGGCTGCCAACAGGACAGGCTCGTCGTGTTGCAGTGTTCGCTCACTCATTCATTCATCTCATGAATCGAATCGAGTCACTTGGCGACCCCGTCGACGGGGTCGCCGACATACCCGTCCCTCTGCATGTCGCCATAGACGGGGTCCTCCGCCGTCTGCAAAAAGAGACAGAGGTGTCCACCCGGGGGGATGCACTCAGTCTGTCTCGCTGGCTGAGAATCTGTTTGTGCTTTTCTCAGCTCACCTCAGAGTACCATCCATTGCCGAGATACCCCGACCTGGGGATGCCTGCGGCGTCGAGCGACGGGTCAGCCGGCCGCAGTAGGATATCCTCGACGTCGCGCTGGATGGTGGCACACATGTCCGCCAGCGTCAGCTGCTTGTTGTAGTAGTCGAACGGCTCCTCAATGAAATGACCGATCTCCTGGTGGACACAAAAACAAAAGCAGAAAGGAGACAAGAAGGTAAGGCCGCACTCACTCACTCACAGCCGGAGGGACAGGGCCTCCACCTCGCTGCCCCACTCCTGTCTGTACCTCGATGGAGAAGAGTCCCCACTGGAGGACGAACATAGCCAGAGGCGTGAGCAGGCCCAGTTTGGTCACCAGCACGAAGGGCAGGGTGGTGCAGAAGACCGTCAGGAAGCGCGACGTGTGTCGGGAGTAGGACTTGGGGATGGGCGTCTTGGCGATACGCTCACACGCTCCCATCACGTCGCACAGAGTGCCCAGGCACTTCTCGATCTGCACACGGTAGGCTGACACACACAAGCAAGACATGGGCAGAGGTGTGAGGTGCAAGGTGCTGACTGCAGGTCTGTCTGTTCCGCCCATCCCCTTACATAGAGCCGTGGCTGCCTGGCTACATACATACATGGGTTGGTGAAGAGTTCGGGTCGCACGCTGAGGGAGATGCTCTGCTGACCGCTCTGCTGACGGAACATCTCAACCACCGAGGACTCTGCACACACACAGGCAGCACAAAACACCACAGCACACCATCCGCTTCTGGCTGGCTGGCCGGCCCCACGCACCTGCCCTCCCTCCCTCCCTCCCTCCCCGTATCTGTCTGTCAGTCTGCCGGTCAGGTCGATCGGCCCCTCACCCACCGACTCACCCACCCTCCCACCTTTGTTGTTGACGCCCACAGCCTGCGGTGCGTTGACGTTGATGCCCACCGGCGGGGGGCTCGTCTGCCCAACCGGCTCCAGGCTCCCCTGCAGCGCCAGACGCAGCTCCAGATTCAGCATACGCAGAATCGCCAACGGAGGGCTTCCCACTCTGCATAATGGAGGATGGATGGAATGAACCAAACCGACGAGGGAGACAACACAACACAACCACACACACACACACACGAACAGGTGGGTGAAGTGACAGGTACAGGTACGTGAGTGACTATGTGTGTCTCTCTCTTACTTCTTGAGGGCTTCGTACTCCGTCGGTGTGAAGTACTTCTCTATCTCTGAGATGTCGTCGAGGCCCTGTAGATGCTGCTTCAGCGCCGCACAAAAGGCCGCCGTCAGGTTGCCGAACCCTACACGGGCCATGCCAACCACATCGACAGACATGATGTGCACATGGGACGGACCGGAGCCCACGTGTGGACTGGCTGCTTATCTATCGCCTGCTCACTCACTCTTGTGGTGTCTGGGGTGGGTGTATGTCGCCGCACAGTAGGCGATCTCGCGCGACTTGTTGACCAGCGTACCCCAAAGCTTTCGAGCCTCCCAGAACCTGCCGTGCCGTACACAGACGTACAGGTGGGTGTCAGTCACCTGTCAGCTGGCCACCGTGGGAGCGAGCCATCTGTCTGTCCATTTACCGACCTGTCGTAGGATGCATTGGTCCTGAAGACGAGCAGCAGGGCGAGAGCGCTGGCCATGATGGAGTGTGGCAGCACGGGGAACTCAGGCAGCTCGGGATAATACTCCCACAATGCAGCAACGCCGGCAGCCCACAGCTGTGCACACACGCACACGCACACACCACAGGCAGAGCAGACAGATGAATGAATGAATGAGTGGATGGATTCATTCATTCATGAGTCAACCCCTCAGCGCGTGCAGATGTGTGTGTGGGTGCAGACAGAGCCTGAGCTGCGGCCCCACCGTGTTCCAGAAGAGGTGCGATTGGATGCGCTCGAAGATCTTGGACCTGGGCAGGGATTGAATCGCATACAGCCAGTCCTGACACAGCAGTGGACACCCATACCACAAGAGCGTGCAAAATGAGTCTGCCCGTCGCTGGCTCTATCGCCTTCCGCCGGCCTGCCCTCACCTTGGACGAGTATCTGACGGGCTTCTTGAGTGCCAGAGACACTGTGGCTGGCACATCTGCCTCGCCGCCGGGGAATGGCCTCGTCACCTTCCTGGTGTGCGGCCGCAGGATGTTCGACGGCTGCAGAGGGCTGGGGGGGACGAATGCAGGCATGGCTGTGTCGGCATCTGTCGGTGCAAGCAGCACGGCAGCCGAGGCCGCCAGACCCGTCAGCGAGATCTTCATCGGCTGAGGACAGCAGCGATGTGGTGGGTGGGAATGGGGCAGACGGGTGTATGGGACGGGCTGATAGAGGGGAGAGAAAGGTTTGAAGAGGCGTCCAGTGATCACTGGCAGTGTTTTGTGCGATTTGCTCTAGCCAAAATTGAGAAGTGTTTAGGGTTAGGGTTAGGGTTAGGGCTTAGGGTTTACCCCAAACCCTAAACCCTAACTCTCCGGTTCGCGAACGCCGCCATCGACAGATCTTGCTTACCAAGCAAGATCACAGGAGCAAGATCTTTGATTTTCCAATATACAGCGAACGAACCAGATGCGGCTGAGGCATGCAGTATACTTACTCAGCGCTTCAATACTCGCATCAGCGCTCCGCGCGAAGCCTTTGATTCCGTGCGGATTGTCGACTGGAGCACGCCGCGCGGCGCACTCGCGTCTTTCGTTGACGGATGGCAGCATTGATGACGGCGTGACTTTCGACGAGGTGGGTGGATGCAGATCGACGCGCCATTGTGTGTGTGATACCTGCCTGTCTGCAGCTGGTGGACCGCCAGCTCAGTCACATCAAAAGGAACACGGCCGGGCCACCACGCAAGGCAGCCGCAGAGGAGCCGCTTGGTGTGCCGGAAGATGCTGCGGGGCAGCCATGCATCCTCACCAGAGACGTACGCACATCGACTGACTGCGGCTGCCACGGCAGAGGTGTCATCTTCTCACTCACTGTTCTGTGTCATTCCATCAGACCCCAGGGCTTGACTATCGCTATCAGGGTGCAGACTGGATCTGCGGCTCGTGCGCCTCCCGAGTGCGACAGAGCCCGATCAGCTTCCCTCCTACGGCACCCGCTTCCCCCTTCTCTTTCAAATACGGCTTTCGTGGCCCTGGGCCGGTCGTCTTGCGCAACACTGGATTCTCGATCGAGGTGCGGCGAAAGGAAACCAGAACCGACGCCATTCCGATATCATTCGAGGATCTACCTGGCGGTGCGCCAGTCGCCAAAGGCGCCAAGCGTGCTACGGATGACACGGAGGTGCCGCCACCCGCGCCCAGCTCCCGCCTGACGCCCTGTGCTCAAGTGGCGGCCGACCTGCAGGTGACAGAGAGAGACGAGAGGGATTCACTCGCAAGCCAAGCTGGGTGTGGTGTTTGTCGTGCTCGAACAGCTGATGGGCGGCAAGTTCGCGCTTGACAATATTCACTTTCACGGCCCTGCGGAGCATCTGTTCGAGGGCGAGCGCCACGCCCTCGAGATGCATGTGGTGTCCCAGCTGGTCCGCCCCGACCCGACAGCTGTCATCCAGCCCCACTACTGTGTCCTGGCCTTCACGTTCATTGTGGGCGAGTCCAATTCTTTCCTGGAGGAGATCATCAAGAGGGGCGTTCCCGGTGTCGGTGGCTCACTGACCTTCGTCCCCTCAGCCGATGGATTCGACATCGACCGGCTGGTTCGGGAGAAGGGCAGGGACGGGTTCTATTACTATCCTGGATCGCTGACTGTGCCGCCCTGTTTGGAGGCAGTTGAGTGGCTTGTCGCGCGGAAGCCGATTGAGGCGTCGGCGAGTCAGCTGGCGGTGTTCCTGAGTGAGTTCACGACGAACGGCAGGGGGAACTATCGGGTAGTGCAGAACACCAAGAACTCCATGTTGAGTCAGCTGTGTGTGATGGAGGGCAAGCCCACAAAGAGGAGGGGTGTGCTGCAGCGGCTGGGCATCAGAAGACCATGAGATAGATGTCATCCATCCATCCATCCACTGCATGGGTGTGGTATTTTGCTTGGTACACATGTATAGCTCATCTGCAGCGCATGGGTATGTATATTGTGGCAGTCTGTCTGTCTGTCTGTGTGTATGTATCTGTGAGTATGTATGTATCATCGCAGGGCTCGCTGTTGTCTCTTTGCACATACATCTTTCTGACCTGCCTAAGTGTGCCGTGGGTATATATATAGTGTCTGCGTGTCTGTCCGTCCGTCTGTTTCAGTGCATGTTTGGCCACTGACCCGCTGGTATGACCAATCAATGGACATTTGTTGCTTGAAGCGCTTGCAGCATCCGCCAATGCGAGCCAGCCATCTGTCCCACGTATGTAATGTGCGTGTTGAGATCGATAGCTCGGCAGGCAGGCAGACTTGCACACATGCATGTAGGAATCGTCCAATGGTCATATTGTACAATCCTATGGCTACCCCACTCCCCACACCCAGCCACCCACTCACCCCTATCATCCTTCGCTCAATCAGTCAGTCAGTCACCATTCGTACGATCGGTGCACACGATGCACACGCACACACGCATACAATGCACGAATGCATATGTCAGCCCTCAGCCTTTCCTCCACGATGTTATGTTTATGTGTCCACCGCCTTGGGCACGGCCTCCATGACTCTGAAGACCAGCACATCGGCCGCCCTCCGTGGGGGCCACCCCCGCCCCTCCCCCTGCTTAGTCCCCTCGAACACGCTGTACGCCCGCATGTCCGCATCACGACCCTGTGTGAGCGAGCAACAAACACAGAGAAAGACACATGCATGAGCCGCTGAGCCATGGATGGATGGGCGTGTGCTAACCTACCTGCCCTGCCCTGAGTACGCCACGAATCTGCATGCACCAGCGGCCCTTGCCTGCGCCGGCGGCGGGGGCCATGATGAGTGCGTCGCCGACCACACGGCGGTCGGTGAGTGTGTTGCTCTCGGATATGTCGGCCAGGGCGAGCCGGGGCGGCTGCCCGGCCGACGGGCTCAGGAAGCGGATGGTGCCCTCGCCGGGCGGCTGGGGCTTGTTCTTCTTGTCGAGGGCGTTGGGCCACGTCTGGAAGAGGATGGCCACCTCCGGGGTGTCGGAGTGGGGGTTGGTGAAGACGATGAGGTTGTGGGCCTTGGGGTGCGGGACGAAGGACATGTTGGCGAGCATGTTGTCGTACGCGAAGCCGCACACCGAACCCCTGGCCGACACACATACATACAGACAGACAGACAGACAGACAGGAGCAGATGCAGTCTGTGCACGTGTGTGTGTTATGTTGTGTGCTGCAGCGTATGCGTGTACTTACTTGTATTCCTGTACGCAGCAAAAGTTCTTGGTCCTGAGTTTCCCCTCCACCCACGGCATGAGCATCTCAAACACCGAACCGCGCACCACCGGCAGCGGCTTCGGCACAATATCCTCCTGCATGAATGCAATGCACCAACACACCACACCCATTTGCACATACACACACAGACACACACGCATGTGCCCATCGCCTCCCCTTGTCTGTGTCTGGCCGACCTGCGTGTTGCCTTTCTCCATGTGTGTCTGCTCCCCCCCGTCAGCTTGGCGCAGCGGCACCCACACAGTGTGCTGTTTCTTGGCCGAGGGTGAGTCGATAGCCTCCGCATGGAGTGCGAGCGGCTCGAGGTGCAGGTGAGGGGGGGCCTGGAGGGGGTCGCTCGCGTGGCTGCCCGTGCTGCCGCTGCCGCTGCTGTTGGTGTTGCTGCTGGTGCTGGTGTTCTCCTTGCTGTTGGCGGCTGTGCATGCCATCTGCTGCGGGTGTTTGATGATGTTGGGCGGGATGGCCAGGGGGAAGGGGTGCTGAAGCTGAAGGGCCAACACCTGTCAGTCAGACGGGGAAAGAGAGAGAGAGATGCACACACACACACACACACACACACATACCACGTCATGCACGAGAGCTTCTCATGATTGCGCGGAAAGAAGGTAGGTGAGTGCAGCTGCGTGCCTGAGTGGATGGGGCGGGAGGGGGTGGTGGTGGGGGCGGCTGGCCGGCCATTGGCTGCTGCTGCTGAGTGAGAGTGTTGTTAGTGATAGCGGTCTGGGCAGGAGGGGGTGAGAAGGGCGGGGGC